CCCCCCCCCCGCGGCCCCCTCTCATCGCGCCGCTGAATCCCCCTCCGGCGGTCCCAAGGACTCTGCTTCCGCTCCCAACAAGGAGAGCCCCAAGAAGAGGACTTGCAATGGCTGCAAGTCTCTTTGTAGCATTGCCTGCTTTGTTTCTGAAAAGGTCTGTCCTTTTCCAATGTCATTCTTTTGCTACCAAGATATATTGGGAATTGAATTGATTCATTTAACATTTGTTGAATTATTGGGAATTGAATTGATTAATTTTGATTTTGCTTGTAAAAAAGACTGACTTGCAATCCATTAGTGTCATATTGCTGCTATGGTTTCTGCAACTGATGTTTTGAATTTAATTTTTGGGAACAGTATGATATGACGCTGTGTGCAAGGTGCTATGTTCGTGGGAACTATCAGATTGGTGTGAGTTCTTCAGATTTCAGGCGGGTTGAGATCAATGAAGAGATGGGGAATGGCTGGGCTGATAAGGATACTCTGCATCTCTTAGAAGGCCTCATGCATTATGGTGATGATTGGAGGAAGGTTGCACAGCATGTTGGTAGAAGTGAGAAGGAATGTGTTGCTCATTTTCTCAAGATTCCTTTCGCTGAGGAATTGAATGGAGATTTGGATTCTGGGAATTTGGATCACAAGCCTAGTAGTGCATTGCAGGACAATGCAGGTGATGCTGAATTCGGAATGGAGGGTAATGGTGATGGTACAACACCGTCTCTAGGTAAACGAATGCGTCTCACACCTCTTGCAGATGCAAGCAACCCAATTATGGCTCAGACGGCCTTTCTGTCAGCGTTGGCGGGCGTAAAGGTTGCAGAAGCTGCTGCTTGTGCCGCTGTAACTACGCTGTGTGAGGCGGATTATGAGACAAGTAGAATGAGTGCTGGATTTCGGGCTTCGAATGCAAGACAGCATGAAACTGATGCTGCATTGAATGGAGATACCAACACGGACGCCAACCTAGATGCACTGGGGGCAAATTTTGTAGATGCAAATTCACAGCTTGAGAAGGAAGGGCTGGATGTGGGAAGAGCACTTTCTGGGATTACAGGGGTGCAGATGAAAGAGATCCAAGGGAAGATTGATCGTTTTGAGGCGTTGGATTTGCAGATGGAGAAAGAATGGGAACAACTGGAGCAAATGAGAAACATGCTCTTTGTTGACCAGATGACGCTTTTAATTCATCAAAGTTCTGCACCAAACACTGCAGAACGGATGCAGGAGAAGAATGTAATAATAGATTGATTTTCTCATGTAAGCTTTCTTTAGCCAGAACTCATGTATGAATTAATGTTTTCTTACATAGACGAATAATTCAGTGACAAAAACATAGAAGAACTTTGTCCTGCATCTTCCTACAGTGATGCATCTGGAAAAATGTGTGACCAATTTATATATATATAAAATAAAAATAAAAACTCAAAAGCATTGTTAAGCACCAGATCAAGTTTAACTCAAGCTTCTTACTATTCTCAACAACAAAAAATTTAAAAAATAAAATATAGAAGAAAAGAGCACACTCCAATAGAGAGATTACAGAAAACCAAATTGTCATGAACTCACGTCTGCTCTCTCTCTCTAGACCCTTCTGGTGGATATATGTCCTGTACCCATTCAATCTTTGCAACACGGTACCTGAAGAGCACATCAACAGGTAAAAATATTGAACAAGAGCAGTAACTAAAGATCAAATGAATGGTTAGACATCTCATAAGACAAGCAAAATCAGCTATTGAACCTTTTGAAGAGTCGGTGATAACCTACAAAATTATAAAACAAGCCACAATCAGTGAAACTTAAACTTTGGGTCAAACTTTATAAACCTTAAGAAAGTTAAAAGGGAAAGAAAAGGACCAGTGACAATACTCTACCATTCTCATCCGACGGTTGCCTTCCATTATCCTCCTCACCTGTTGTTTAAGTGACAAGGTACAAGAAAAATCTATGAATATTCAACAAAAACAACAAAACATATGGATCACATGGACTGTAGAAATGTACCAAGTAGGTATACAAAACTTGCCAGATAAGTTTGTCAACATAGTTCTTTTGCAGAAAACAGAATCAATAACAACAAAACACTCACCTCGATCCATTGACCGACTGACATAGGCGTGAACGACAAAAAGAATGCCCATAAGGAGTTGTGACAGGTTCAAGCATAGTGTGGAATCAAAGTTTCTTTGGCTCCTCCTCCCTGTGAAATTAGCTTGTATTCTCTCTAAATTCTGAAAACATTCCTGACGAAGATTGCTACAGAATACCACACAAAAGATAAAATAATATAACATTTTAGACATTCACAAACCGAATATCATATAGCATAGCCAACTGGTATTAAACAATATGTACTTAATAATATCTATGTTTCGGTAAATAAACATAATTCCTTCCAGCAAACA